AAGTCGGAACAGGACGGGAGCCCGAAGGACCTGCTGGAGGGGAAGCGCCAGTCGTTGAGCCCGCCGTCGAAGCCGACGAGCCCGCCCGGGCACCAGAGCTCGACGCAGTTGGAGCAGGAACAGGAACCGCGGATGCCACAGGAACTGCTGCGGACGTAGGAATAGCAGGGGGGAGGGGGATCGCACCGTCGATCTCCGCCGTGAAAGTGGCTTCGAGTCGACTGATCAGGTCAGCGGTGTCGATCTGCCCGCCTACATGCGTTACGACGCCGGCGAGACGATCAGCAAGCTCGTCGCGCACCCGCCGCGCCAGCTCTCGGCCCCGACGCGCGTCTCGAAGCATCCGGCGCCAAGCCACAGCGCGTTCGTCGCGCTCTCGGATGGCCAAGTCGCGCTCCTCCTCCAGTTCAGCGACGCGAGCGCTGAAATGATGGGTCTGGGCGCCGACTGCTCCTCGACGCTGCTGAGACGACCGCCGCATGGACAGCCACCCAGCTCGATACACCGCCGCGCGGGATGTGGCGCAACGTTCGCCGGCTTGAGCCCGCGCCATCTCGGACTCGGCGGCCACACGGAGAGTCGTAGCAGTTGCCACTGACTCCTCCAGCTCGTGCATACGCGTCGCGCCGCGGCGGAGCTCCTCGGCGTGGACCACTAAGAGCGCGTTGACGCGCCGAAGGTCGTCCTGCAGCGGGACGTTCAGGTTCTGGGCCGCCTCGATCTCCATGCGGCTCTGAGAAAGCGACGCACGGGCCGCGCGGAGCTCTTCGTCGACCGGGGCGCGCTGCTGCTCCAGAGCGGTCAAGGCCTGACGAGCCTGATCTCTCTCGGCGACGGCAGCGTCTCGCCGCTGCTCAAGGGCGGCCACGGCTTGACGTGCCCGGTCCCTCTCGGTGACAGCAGCGTCTCGCTCGCATCTCAGGGCCGTGGAGGCGCGACGCACTTGATCTCGCATGTCGAGGGCCCCGTCACGCTCTTGCTCGACGACCATGAGAACGCGGGTCACACGGTCACGCTCGGCGAGAGCGGCGTCGCGCTGCTGCTCTGTAGTGGCCACGAGCTGCCGCATGTGATCTCGTTCAGCTTCGGCGGCGGCCACGCGCGCTTGGACAGGAGCGAGGGCGGCTTGGGCGGCTGCGAGGTCGACGCGTAGGTCGTCACGCTCGGCGCGCGCGTCGTCGCGCGCGCATTGTGCAGCAAACAGCCGCGCTAGCGACACGGTGGAGGGAGGCGGCGTAGCAGGAGCGCGCACGAGTTGGGCAGTCAAGTCAGTGACCTGGTCTCGTGCCGCCCAGAGCTGAGCTTGAAGATCACGATATCGCTCTGTCGAGGAGCCTCGCTCGGCGCGGAGTAGAGCCTCGGCAGCGTCGGCGCGCTCAGCACGAGCGCGGAAGTCGGCCACTCGGTCCTCCAGGACGGCGTAGTCCCGCTCAGCGTGCTCCCGGGAGAGGAGCGCCTGCTCGAGCCGGATCATGCCTGCGCGATAACCCTCGCGAGCACGGTGCAAGACCGCGAGATTGCGGTCATGCAGCACGGACGCGTGAGTAGCCAAGCCCGCGTTGTGTGCTGAGACGAGTTCGTACTGGGCGCACAGCTCCTGGTTCTCGCGCTGGAGAGTGTGCGCGTCGGCGACAAGAGCAGTCACCGAGTGGACGGGGGCGCCTGAAGCCGGAAGCTGGACTTGGGGCGCGACGAGGAGGCGAGGACGATGCGCGCCGAGGGCACAAACCGCGCAGCCAGCGGCCTCGAGGTCGTCGGTGTCAAGCTCTGCTTCCTCCAGGTCGATGTCGTTGACGTCGACGTCGTGGCGGCGAGCCATGAAGCTTGGAGTACCGCGAAGCAGACTACGAGGGCAGAAAACGCGATGGTGTCGAGACGAAGCGAAAGCGCGGGGCAGGTTCTGCGACGACACACCCACCTGGGGAGTGCGCGTGCGTGGCAGCGGGACGAATGTGGTGGAGTACCCCGCGGAAGAAGTGGGCGCGCCGGGCGCCGGAGGAAGAAGGCGCCGGGACGCGAGTGATGGACTTCGACGCGGCTGATGGAACGCGACGCGGATTGATAGGCGCGACGCAGGGCCGAGCTCGACGGGAAAGTCGGCGTGGGTGATGGGCCGTGAGACACGGTGCCAGAATCCAGTGCGACGCGTAACCATCCGACGGGTCGACCAGCGCACCCGGTTCTGCAAAACGCGCCGACCCTAAACCCCGCCGAGCAAAACGCGCCGAGCAAGACGCGCCGAGCAAAACGCCCCGACCCTAACCCCCGCCGACCAAAACGCGCCGAGGTAAGATCTTGATTGCGCCACGCAAACCAGGTTGAAGGACGGCAGTGCAAGCACGACAGAAGTAGGGATAGGCCCAGAGCGGTAGGCTTAGCAAGCAGTAGTACAGAGTAGCCAGTAGCAAGGACATAGGATAGGGTAAGGACTCAGTCCCGAAATGTCTCTGAACCACAAAGACCTCCCGTCTTCTCCGAGGTTCCAGGGGAACCACCAAGCGCCGGCAAGTAGAGCCGCCTCGATATCGCGGCCCCCCGTCGTTTGCTGGTTCGGGTGCTCACCCCCACCCCCCCCCCCACAGACCCGTGCTGGAACAAAGTCACGTTAAACGTATACCGTTTAGGTGGGCGCCCGATAACGCGCTGCCTAGGCGAAGGACCGCACTGGCCTGATAACCGCCGTGCACAAGACCCCCCGTGTAGGCCCGATAACGCCACACAAGCCCCAGGAAACGCCGGCCCGATAACGCCGCACGCCCAAGGCTCGACGCCCTACGACAAGGAACAAACGTCAACACAAGAACCCCCCCCAACTCCGAAGTCTGCGAAGACTTGGGCCTGTATTTCGAAGATACGCTACTTCAACAACCGGGAATAATTCGCTCGGCGCGACCGCTATCCAGACGCGCCGAGTTTGTGCGAGATCGCATTCGCGAGATTTCTGCGAGGGCGCTACTCCACAAGAGGATGAGGTAGTGGTGGTGAAGCATGTTCCCGCCCCTCCAACGTGCTTCGTCTGCAACAATGCCATCACTGGTATCGTACTGGAGGGGTCGCAGTGCGACCACAAACTGGACTACGAATGTCTGAAATCCTACAACAGGACGTGACTAGGCACAGAGATCTCCTCTGTCCTGAGTGCAAGTTCCCGTTTCCTGTTAACCTATTCGACAGCGACAGTGGAGGCGACGACCACCAACCAGACCAAGCATTCGAATATGATGGGTCACACGAATCGGAGGAATCGGCTTCCGACGCAGTGGAAAGAACTGCCAGCAGCTCAGAGGAGTACCACCCAAGCGACTTCAACAGCGAGTCGGACGACTCCGACGATGATTACCACTCAGGCGATGACTAGTAAGCTGAAGAGGATCATATTCATAAGTGCATAACAAATACACAATTGGATATGACATTTTCGTATGGTTTAAAGTGTACTGGTTCAAATAGTACAATTGAGGACGACAGTACAATTGCGGACGACCTATCCTACTACCGCCTTCGGTTACGAATAGCTGCTAGAATCTTGTTCACCGTCAGCTCTCCGTGCACGCACCTCTTGAATGCTTCTTCAACCAGTTGTCATCGCCGTTGAATTCGTCTCGGATATACTCAGCGATAATCTTCATCCGCGATAACTGCGAGCAGTGTACCTTCCGCTCATGTGGAAGCATGTCCACACCTGCTCGGCACTGATGGCACGCTGGGTTGGCCTTCCAATACTGGTTGACGTAGTCACGCCACGAGTTTGCGTCACGTAGCTCGGAGACTAAGCTCAACGTGTCTATCGGCTCGTCGGAAGCTGTACCGGGCGTCGCCTGCTCCTCATGACCATGTACCGTGTCCTGCGTCAAGCTTTGGCTACTGGCGATGTTATGGACCATGTCAAGCAACCCTTGAACCAACGTCTTCAGCTCATCAACTGCGCGAAGTGAAACGTCCGCAGAACCATCGCTCATTGCACTACCTGTAGGTCGTAGTTCCTCGCCATCGTCTGTCTCTGCCTGCAAGCTTCCGTAATCGATATCCCTGATACTTTCAAGCGATGCGGAAGAGCATGACACCGCGTCGGGTGTGGTATAGCAGTACACACAAAATCGTCAGTTGTGGTAACTTGGCTACAAACACAACAATAGCCGAGCTGGTCGGCTTTGTTAACCTGCGCCGGGTTACCCCCGAGCGGTTCGGCCCAACCGGGACAGCGGGTGTCTCGCCTTTCGTCGAGACCTGCCAACCAAGATCACCCCTCCGGAGAGCCGCCGAGTTCGACGGCCTCCGTTCACTTAACCCTGTGCCCTCCACCAAAGGATGGCCGACGGCGCACGGAGCGCTTTTACAGGTCGCCGAGAGCAAAGGCTTCTCGACTCAGCAATCAGTGCCCGGGACGTACGGGAACACCGGCTCGCAGCGGTGGTGAGACTTTTCCTTCGCGCTTGGCGAGACACGCGCCCAACCCGGGCCGACCTTAATCTCTTGGCGCTGCCAGCCGAGTACCCTACAAGCTATGCCTCTCGGGTACCGGCAGCAGACATAATCCAGCCCCGTGCAGGGACTTACCGGAACGTGTACACGTGTTGTGGACCTAGAAAATTCTGCTCTGTTGTTTGTTATCTCTATCGGGCGCCCTGAAGGGGCGCCTCCACTATTCCTAAGTTCCTATACAAATACCAAATGAAAGTGGGCGGTTTTGGATCTCGGTCGACTCTTCGCTGAGCTCGGCGACGCTTGAGCTCGGCTGGTCCGGATAAACTATCCGGATAATTCTTTGAACTCGGCTGAGCCGGATAAGGTGTCCGGATAAGCTGGTGAACTCGGCTGAGCTCGGCTACCTGTACAGTGTACCACTCCAGCCAAGTTGGTCGCGCGAAATCTGGTGTTTCCTACACCACAACTGCCCCGGTCATGTTCCGAGCCGAGTTGGTGAGGGACCTGACCATCACTCCTTGAGTCGAGTCCAATCTCGGCCAAAACTCCAACGGCAGCGAACAAGTCTCCGCGCCATGTCGTCGTCCGGCGCTCCTGCCGCTCCTCCGGTACGTTCTTTGCCTCCGACGGCTCCATCCATTCTGCTGCTGACCCTTCTTCTACTGATCTTCACAGGCTTCAGTTGCGTCGTCTTTGCAGTCTTCACATCCTCCCGCGCGAGATGAGGGGGAGTTCGCTGAGTTGGTCGACTCGGCGTCCCGGGCTCGCGGGGTCAGCGATGGGCAGGAGCACCCTGTCATCGATCTGACAACTTCCCGTGGGTTCGACCGGGAGTCCGAGTCGGCATCTCGCACTTCTCCTCGCCGCTCGCCGAGTCCGCGTGGTGACACCACTTCGGACGCCGCCGACCTTGGTCGGTCGGACTCGGCTAGGCCGGTGAGTCTCGACTCTCTCGCTGCGCTGATCCATGCGCAGTCCGACCTCGAGGAACGGTTGAAGACTGTCGAGGAGGAGCGTGACCGATGGAAAGCCGAGTCGAAGAAGTCGTCCCCTCTCCTGACCAGCTTCCGGAAGGTGATGGCCGAGTCTGAAGCTTCCTTGAAGTCGGCCAGCAAGTTTCAGGATGATAAAGTGAAGTCGGCTCTCGCTCACGCTAAGGATCTCGGCAGGCAGCTCAGGGAACGCAACTCGGAGATTGAGCGTTTGACTCAGCTTCTTTCGGCTCGTGACGCCGAGTACGCTGTGCTCCAGGGGATCTCGACCAAGCACTTCGAGCAACTGCAGGAGTCGGCTCGGCTACTCATTTCTGGAGACGCCCAGCCTCTCCGTGATGCCAAGGCTACCATCAAACACCAGCGTGAGGTCATCCTCCGGCAGAATCGTGTCATTTCTCGCATGGGTCTTTTACCAATGCACGACCCTCACATGGCATTGTGGTGAAGCACCGAACAAGAATTTCCAACTGCGATGACATCAAGCGACATGGTGGCAGAACAATAGGCAGAGGTCAGGCTGCGGTCGCGGATCAAGAGGGTCTATTGAGAGATCTCAAGCGATTGGATAACGTCGACGCGTGAGGCAACACATATGTCAAGACAGATTACGGGCGATCGCGCTTGGACTGCGGCGTGATTCGACGTAGACCCAAGCCCGGATCGACGACCAATCTCGCAGATCTAGGGCGGCCGAGGACAGAAGAGGACGGATCGGCAGCGCACGGCAACTCGCACAGGTCATCGATCGGGAGTTGATCGCCGATCGGGATCGATCGTGGATCAGGATCCGATCGTGGATCGCCGATCGACCCAGATGGGAAGCACATGGGGGCGAAGCCAGGGCAAGAATCCAGTAATCGTTTGGTTGTAGGATGGTAAGCAAGATGGTAGCAGTAGGGAGAGACCAGCTAAACATAAACGAGAAGGGAATTTGCGCGGTACAACGCAAGTGGCCTGGAAACGTGGCGAGGAAGCACATATTGGCCTCGACCAGCGTACGTCGTGGGGAATCTAATTGGCCCCTCCCGTGATCCAAGACTGCCGAGTCCCTGCGATTCCTTCTCGAGAAGAGAATTTGCACCAAAGAGCACAAGTCCCCCAAGTCGTCAAGTCCCAGGAACTACATTGTCCTCGCCAAGCATCGACACTTTGGGTAGTGAACTAGTGGTACGGTTAAGACTGGATTAATACATTGGCCTGCTTGACCTACTCTAGCGATCTATTTCTTGTGTGCGAACCCCCGATCGACCGGATACCGCTTGGCCGGCGATCGTTTCTCCTCTCGATCAACCTCGATCCCGCTATAGGAAGCGGCAAGCAACCCAGGAAAGGAAGGAACACACCCGGAAAGGCGACTACAGGCCTTGGATCAACTCCAGGCCGACCGATCGGAGCGAACAACCCTCGATCGGAGCGTATACTCGGACGCAGAGCGAAGATTCCCGCGCTGCTCCACAACCTATCCCCGCGTCACGCCAAGACATTCGATCTTCACCAAGCGCTGCATCTCCGGAGCCCCGAGAGAGCAGATCCAGCCCGCCGACGGGTACACAAGGTGAGAACAAGTTCAGACGATCACGGATCGTTGGGGGACCCCCTCCGTTAGTCGGTGTCTGGGCGCTGGTGGGAAGCTCGATCAGGCCTTAACCAGATTTTGGCCGATCCCGCTACACCACAATGGTGCGCGTGCCCGGATCTTTTGGGGACTCCGGATTTCACCGTGAGTCCGTAGAAGATGCGCAAGTGAAGAAAAAACCAGGGGAAGAGGCGTCGTCGGATATCGGATCGCCGAAGACGCTGCTGAACAAAACGAGATCCGCGGATCGACAGAGTGGTCGGAGGACTTCTGTTGACGGAATCGAGGGCGATCTGGAGACAGATCTAGAAGCCAAACCTCAGCATCCTCCCCAGGTCCCTTCGGGGACCCCGGTGGATCTTGGTGCGAACCGAGATTCACCAACAAAACAAACTAAGGCGGGATCGGACCGATACGCGTTCGCTGACTCGCCGATCAGGCTCGATGCGGACTACCTGGACGCGATCGCGGACAAGACCCAGATCGTGAGGAAGAAGCTGAGAGCGCCAGGCTTGGACGACGAAGGTCCCAGACCGTCGGCGCTCGACTGGTCTGAGGCTGACCTGGATCGTCAGTATTACTTGAAGGAACTGCGAGATTTCTTGCGTCAAGATCCTGTCATGGTGATCGTGCGGCCAGAGCAGATCGACGACCCGAAGGGCCTGATCTCGGCCCGCCGAGTGGCGGATAACAAGCTGATGGTGGTGAAGAACCTGCTCGGGCTGTTGAAGGAAGCCAGCTTCGTGGCTGGCGCCTTTGAAGCGAACGATCTTTTCGATCAAGATCTCGATGTGATCCAGACAGCGATTCAGACATTGGTCGACAAGTTGAGACCTTTGGTCGACATGATCGCGGACAGTCCGGACCCGAAGGTGCCAGATCCGGTGTCGCCGGCTCCAGTGTCATCGCCGCGAGTGGAGGCCACTGGGTACCGATCGTCGTCACCTTATGTCTCCGCAGCGGAACATGTATCGGATACGTCGTCTGAACCCCAACGAATGTCCCTCGGCCCTTCAGGATCTGCGATGTTGGACTTGGACGCGCGATCACGGAGTCAACGTCAGGAACGCATGCGGTCAGGACCTCGGAAGCAGAAACCCAAGTCGACCGATCGGACCACCAGTGCTACCGGATCAGATGAGTCGAATGGCAAACTGGAGTCTTACTTTGAGGCTGCGATGGCTCGATTTCTGAAGGAACAACAGGCCACGGTGGTAACACCTACTCCAGTGGTCGACGACCACGTTGGATCGCGGGACGTGGAGATGGAATCAGCCGGATCGCCGGATCAAGATCTCTCTCAGTGGGAATACGATCCGGACGATATTGATCTACCTAGTTCGGCCCCTGCTGTGGTGGCCACCGCTGCCTCAGGATCCACTGGGTCCTCATTGATCCAGCGTGTACGGATTTCGACGATGTCCGATCTTAAGGAGTTCAGTGGCAAGGATCAGGACGAAGACCGCGCCCGATCGTGGATCAGCAAGGTAAAGTCGGCGCTCCTGCGAGATCAGGCTACGGACGAAGAGAAGTGCTTGACCTTCGCTGATCTACTGACGGGCCCGGCGAAGAACTGGTACCGCCAGGGGGTAGATCGCTCCACTTGTTCCGCGTCGATCGGCCGAGACTGGCGAAGGAATGGAAGTCGCCGCCGAAGGCGAAACCTCGGATGGAACCTCGATGACAGTACCGGAAGGCTCGGTAGCAGAACCTTGAACACCCTGAGCGCTGGCCGACACCTCCGGAATCTCGCCGGGCTCAAGGTCATCTTGTGAAGTGTCGCTAGGACTCATACCCCCTCCAAACTCCACGTCAGACGATTCCTGCTGCTGGGCTGGGGCTGGCGAGGGAGGCGAGGCGCGACTGGCCAGCCGAGGATACAAGGGGACGTCTGAGTGTTCGTACGGGAGAGGCTGAGACTCCAACCAGCTTGAGCGAGCCGTCGTTGGAGGACGCACCATCGACCGAGGAGGCGGGGAAATCTCTCCTGATGCTGAACGAGGACTAGATGGCGCGGCGGCCGCTGCAGCCCTGGCCCTCGGGTCGACTGACGGTCTGCCGAAGCGTTTGTGAGGAGGAGGCTGGGGTGCCGTATTACCGACGGAAGCAAACTCGGTTTGCCGACCCCGCTTGCGCGATGACGACTCAGTGGAGACCGGGGAACCAGCAGAAGCGCCCACCGAAGCAGCGGGAGTGGACGTAGCCTCGGTGGATTCAGCCATCGGCACGTCGGTCGTCTTGGACTCCTCTCCCTCCTCTGACGAGGATTCGTCATGGCGTGGACTCTCGACAGTGACTGTCGGTGGGGATAGCCCGAGAAGATTCCAATCAATCTCTGCAGCGGAGATGCCGGCTGAAGCCAGGACCAAGGTGTCGACGTCGAGTCCGTGTGCTGCCGAGTGCCGACGAAGGATAGAATTCGCTCGCCGTAGGCTGTTGTTCTCGTCCGTCAACGCTTGAATGCGTGCGGGGATGACGTTTGCTCGGTCATGGTCGGCCAACTGCTTCCGAAGCCTCTCCAACTGAGTGTTGTAGGTAACGAGGCTTGCACTTATACGCTCGTGGAGCTGGGTGTTCCGACGTACAGCAGCGGCCGAATCGGCCTCAGCAACGAGCGTCCGCTTCTCCAACGACTGAGTGACATCAGCGTGGTGAGCGATGGCCACGTTCGCTTGCATCAACTGAGCGCTGGCGTTGCTGAGCTGGACGCGCATGTCCTGGACGAGGTCCAGAGCTTGGTCGCACTCAGAGTTGGCCGAGACGAGGAAGTAGTCCGACTTGGTCCGCAGGTTCATCTCTTCAGCGAGTTTATCTTTGGCGTCGGAGAGCTCTGCCTGCAGCCTGTCGTTCTCGCGACGGAGGGCCACCAGTTCATCAGCCTCCGCAAGAGGGAGACGCGGAGGAGCAACGGCAGCAGCCAGCACCTCACCGACGTTAGTGGCAGCTTGCAGGCTGTGGTCGAGAGCAGCGTTGACTCGAGCTGGAGGTAAACGGGCAACACCCACGACGAGACGAGCGAGTTCCAGCATCTGCTGCTCGCCCAAGACAACCGCTGTCGGAGGAACCTCGGCCGGACCAGCACCAGCTCCGGCGCGACCTCCTACAGCTGCCTCGCCCCCCACCGACGCCCCGCGAGTTGCCAACGTGACCGAAGGCGCGGGAGTTGGCGACGGTGGAGCGCTGGCGCTTGGCGGCCGTGTCGGCGGCCGGGGCAGGAGGCACAGCACCAGCGGCGATAGGGGCGGGGGCACCCACCGAACGACCCTGGCGCGCCGGACGGCGACCCGAAGTGTCGGTGGCGAGATCAACAGCTCCCTGAGATGATTAAGAAAGAGATAGAGTCAACAACGAGGATCCGAATGACAGTGAAGAGCAGTAGGAGCGATGAACGTACCGGTCCGGAGCACTGGAGAGCCCGAAGAGCAGCGGCAGCTGCGTCGGCGAATGCACGCGACGGAGGAGCCATGGAGTCGAAGAATTGAGGACGGCTAGACGCTCACCAGCGTCGGAGGCTCGCGTCGAGGCGGGGGCAGTTGTGGTATTGGAAAGTCGCAGTTTCCAACGCTGTTGACCCGCCAGCCCGACAATCAAGTTCAATCAAGGGGGGCAATCAAGGCGAGGTCAAGCGAGAGACGGAGATGGCTGCTCCTGATTGGATGATGACATTATCCTCGGTGGAGTGACAGTCGGTGGCCGAAGCCTCGTCGGGTCCTAATAGAACCCCGAACGAGGCTTCACGGTACCCACTTTTAGGTACAGATGCATTTAGTTACGTACTTCGGCCGCACTTATTAGTGTAGCCGCGGTCGTCATGTAATGCGTCCGGAATCGCCTTATTGCGATCGTTCACACTAGATATTTGTATAGGGACATAGGACTCATCATAGGATGACCAGAACGAGGCCCCAGGGCCTCAGAAAACTCAGAAAACTCAGTAATAAAAAGACAGTCTTCCCCCAAACCCAACAAGGGTCAAGTCCGACTTCGGTAAGTGTAGCTAGCTTATTGTAGTGCCTGGACACGCTCGGCTGCGTGTGGATGCCTGTCGGGGAGCTTATCGTGCATTGACCGAGAGTTTCCTTGGCAGCGCCAAGAGTTGGTGTGGCTGGAGAGGCAGGAACGGTATTAGGGTATCGTTCAGTATATATTTGTGGGATTAGAGTGTCCCTGAGTGTATTAGTCTACCTACCGAGGTTTTACCTTGGTCCCCCTGTATAAGGCCTAACACGCCGGTACCCTTCCTTTCTGAGGGACTGCAGTGGGGTTGCGCGAAGGCGCTACATAGTATCCTAGCCTTAGCTCGTGGCTAGCGGTACAGGTTTTTGGGTTGACCGAAGACAACCTAAGGTGCACAGAGGCGCTTGCAACCGACCCGGTGTAAGGGATCGTTCCTGGTCTTCAGGTTTTGATCCAATAAGCGCTTACCTTTGCGGGTTAGCGTGTTGTTGGTGTCTCAAATACCTTTTGGTAGAAGAGAATTTTAGTGGAATTACCACACCACACTGGAAGCATTACGCGCGTCTGATGGCAGAAGCTGAAGCACGCGACCGTGAACTCGCCAACGCCTCGACCGAACAGTCACATGAAGAGTCGTCCGACCCGGACCAGTCGCCTACGAAGTTTGAAGCGGGACGTGGACTCGGATCGCGCGAAAGCTCGAACTCGGAATTAATCAACAGTCCTATAGCGGACATGTTTACGAATGGAGAGCCCGACGAGTCATCGTTGGTGTCGGTTTTCGAACGGCGTTCGTTCGTTGACGATATTTGCTTTGGCGGCGAGTCTTTCGATGCATGTCTAGCGACGCTCGATCGACTCCTCGCCCGGTTCGAGGAATATCGGGTCAGCGTGAGTTTCACCAAAAGCATCTTCGTGCACCTCAAGGTGGACTTCCTGTCCCACGAAGTGTCCCGGAGTAGCATTAGAGCGAGCCCTAAGAAGTTGAAGGCTATCACCGAGCTGTCGTTCCCAAGGTCCAAGAAGGGAGTGCAAGGTTTCCTTGGCGCTCTAAACTACTACAGTCGCTTCATACAGGACTTTGCTGTCTATGATGCCGCGCTCTACCAGCTGCGAGACGAAGTCTTCACACCAGGGGTGACCTCTCTGCAGCCAAGCGAAGCTTCGCGGCATTGCAACGAAAGGTCGGTGAGGCACCTGTCCTCCGACACTTCAACCGTGACCGAGAGGTCCATGTGACGCTGTTTGTGATGGAAGGTATGGATCTTGGACACGAAGCTCGGACGAAGCGGAGGGAGGGACGTCGCAGACGGCGGGACCGGAGCGAAGGCACTTGAGGGGTAGAATGAAGATTCGAAAGTGATTGAATTGTTGGAGCTTACACCCTACTGTTATAGACACGCGACCCTGCGTCCTATCACCTAGTGCATCTAATCAACCATCACTCACCGGTGTTCATCCAATCATCCTACTCGTCTAATCATCGGTGGCGTAAACAACTCACCGTAATCACCATAATCAACGTGGGTTCGGATTGGACCGGTTCGGGTTAACCGATTAATGGGTACAACTGGTACACAGTACCCAAGACCAGCAACCCTCAATACGCCCCCTCAATTCGAAGTCCCACGAATGCCGAGAGCCACCGTCAGATCCGTGTGGCGTGGTCCCGTAAGCGCCTTCGTCATGATGTCCGCTAGCATCACAGAAGTCTCGCAGTACTGGAGCTTGACTTCGCCGCGCTTGACTTCATCGCGGATGTGGTGGTACTTGATGTCGATGTGCTTGGCGCGACCGTGGTTCACTGGGTTCTTCGTCATCTTGATGCACGACTGGTTGTCTTCGCGGATCATGAGTTCGGGTCCAGTCTCATTAGCGGCCGCCAGAATCTCGCATAGCAGGCGATGAATCCACTTGCCTTCTTGGATAGCCAGACTGAGCGCGATGTACTCCGCTTCGCTCGTGGACAGCGACACACTTGATTGCTTCTTGCTTCCCCAGCTCACAGGCGCACTCATGAGCATGAACGTGTAGCCTGAAGTGGACTTGCGGTCGGCGAGGTCGCCGGCCCAGTCCGCGTCCGAGTAGCCACGAAAGTCGATCTTGTCGCCCGGCTTGAAGCAGATCCCATGCGTCTTGGTGCCTTGCAGGTAGCGAAAGATACGCTTGACCGCAACCCAGTGTTCCTCTTGGGGGTTCTCCATGAAGCGCGATACATAGCCAACGGCGTACGCGATGTCTGGGCGCGTGGCGGTCATCAGGTGCATCAGAGCACCAACAGCTTCGCGAAACGGAGCGTTCACCTTGGTCGCCGCGTCGCTTGGAACCAGTCGAGTGCTCATGTCCACCGGACTCACCACGGCCTTGCACTCGTCCATGGCGAAGCGCTTCAGGATGTCGTCCACGTATCGCCGCTGGCACATGGTCACGCTGCCGTCCGGGCCGTCCACCAACTCGATCCCAAGAACAAACGCGCACTTGCCGCTGTCGGTCATCTCGAAGCGCGTCTTCAGGTCGGTCTTCGTGCGTGCGATCAGCTCGGGCGAACTCCCGGTAATCAGTACGTCATCCACGTACACCAGTACAAGCACGCAGTGACCGTCCACCACCTTGATGTAGAGGCTCGGATCGAAGGCCGACACTTGGAAGCCGATGGAGCACACGAACTCGTCGAAGGTCTCGTTCCACACTCGCGAAGCTTGCTTGAGACCGTAGATGGCCTTCACCAGTTCCAGGCAGTCGAAGTCACCATCCAGTTCGACGCCTTCCGGAACCACGCAGAAGACCACCTCCTTCATTATCCCGTACAGGAATGCTGTCACCACGTCGAGTTGGTCGAGGGGCCAGCCAAAATACTTAGCAATCGCGATCACCATGCGCAGTGTCACATACTTGACCACGGGCGAGAACGTCTCGGTGTAGTCAATGCCGTACTTCTGCTTGAAGCCCTTGGCCACGAGGCGCGCCTTGTACTTCTCGATCGAGCCGTCCGCTTTGCGCTTGATCTTGAACACCCACTTGGTATCGATGGCGCGTCGTCCGTTAGGCAATGATGGAAGGTATGGATCTTGGACACGAAGCTCGGACGAAGCGGAGGGAGGGACGTCGCAGACGGCGGGACCGGAGCGAAGGCACTTGAGGGGTAGAATGAAGATTCGAAAGTGATTGAATTGTTGGAGCTTACACCCTACTGTTATAGACACGCGACCCTGCGTCCTATCACCTAGTGCATCTAATCAACCATCACTCACCGGTGTTCATCCAATCATCCTACTCGTCTAATCATCGGTGGCGTAAACAACTCACCGTAATCACCATAATCAACGTGGGTTCGGATTGGACCGGTTCGGGTTAACCGGTTAATGGGTACAACTGGTACACAGTACCCAAGACCAGCAACCCTCAATACGCCCCCTCAATTCGAAGTCCCACGAATGCCGAGAGCCACCGTCAGATCCGTGTGGCGTGGTCCCGTAAGCGCCTTCGTCATGATGTCCGCTAGCATCACAGAAGTCTCGCAGTACTGGAGCTTGACTTCGCCGCGCTTGACTTCATCGCGGATGTGGTGGTACTTGATGTCGATGTGCTTGGCGCGACCGTGGTTCACTGGGTTCTTCGTCATCTTGATGCACGACTGGTTGTCTTCGCGGATCATGAGTTCGGGTCCAGTCTCATTAGCGGCCGCCAGAATCTCGCATAGCAGGCGATGAATCCACTTGCCTTCTTGGATAGCCAGACTGAGCGCGATGTACTCCGCTTCGCTCGTGGACAGCGACACACTTGATTGCTTCTTGCTTCCCCAGCTCACAGGCGCACTCATGAGCATGAACGTGTAGCCTGAAGTGGACTTGCGGTCGGCGAGGTCGCCGGCCCAGTCCGCGTCCGAGTAGCCACGAAAGTCGATCTTGTCGCCCGGCTTGAAGCAGATCCCATGCGTCTTGGTGCCTTGCAGGTAGCGAAAGATACGCTTGACCGCAACCCAGTGTTCCTCTTGGGGGTTCTCCATGAAGCGCGATACATAGCCAACGGCGTACGCGATGTCTGGGCGCGTGGCGGTCATCAGGTGCATCAGAGCACCAACAGCTTCGCGAAACGGAGCGTTCACCTTGGTCGCCGCGTCGCTTGGAACCAGTCGAGTGCTCATGTCCACCGGACTCACCACGGCCTTGCACTCGTCCATGGCGAAGCGCTTCAGGATGTCGTCCACGTATCGCCGCTGGCACATGGTCACGCTGCCGTCCGGGCCGTCCACCAACTCGATCCCAAGAACAAACGCGCACTTGCCGCTGTCGGTCATCTCGAAGCGCGTCTTCAGGTCGGTCTTCGTGCGTGCGATCAGCTCGGGCGAACTCCCGGTAATCAGTACGTCATCCACGTACACCAGTACAAGCACGCAGTGACCGTCCACCACCTTGATGTAGAGGCTCGGATCGAAGGCCGACACTTGGAAGCCGATGGAGCACACGAACTCGTCGAAGGTCTCGTTCCACACTCGCGAAGCTTGCTTGA